CTATTAAAAAAAAAAAAAAGAGTTTAAAGATTTAGTTCCATGAGGTTATATGTGAATGAAATGTATTCACCCAAATATTCATGGGAAGAGAAGGAAACAGGAGGTGGAAAAGGAAAATTTATGTTTTAAGCAAAACCTCTTTGATCAGGTATAAATATTCCAATCTCTCATCAATACCTGCATGGCCCTTTATGCATCCCCTGAGCTCTGCCTGCCAGTAGCCTACCCTGAGATCTTTGATCTGAGATGAGGAAATGACTTCTACACATCCCAAAAGTTAGGAAGATGCTTAAACACTGTTCCTGGAATAGATGGTTTTCAAAACAAAGTCTTCAAGGTGGAGGACAGATTTAATGACAGTTAAGTCATTATTTCTGCTGTCTCCTGCTCCCAATAATCTCCAATTTTAGATTGTCACAAGAAAGACTTGGTTTCAGCTAGAAATCTTCCTACTGGCCATAGCCATTAGTTTTGGTTTGGCTCTTTTCTGAGGCAGTAAATTCCACAGATAGGTTACAGAAAATAGCATTTCTATGCAAAATTTCCAAATTTGCTGCCCTTTAATTTTATTGAATATGTTGCTCCTCTCAATGAATGTTGCTCTGTGAAAGGTTATACACTTCCTTATAGAATACTACACTTCATTATAGAATACTTGTAGTACTAGTATTTTAAAAAGTGTTATCACACCATTCTATAGTCATTAGAAATCAATTAACTATTTATTTGAGGAAGAGAAGCCTTGCCCAGGTGCCCTAACTTACTTTCCATTAAGCTGCAGCTCTCCAGCACTATGCACTGAACAAGGCAGATTTCATTTTTTATTCAGCTTGCTGCTTCCCATTGACTGATTTCCAGCTGCCCTTTTCTGATGGATTAAACTTTTCCTGTGACCCTCTGTTGTTTTTGAAAGACATTCACCACAAAGTGTCAGGGTGTGAGCACGTGAATTGTAAAGTCAGCAGAATTTAGTGAATGGTGCCTACCCCTCTCATTAAGTGACTGAAAGCCTGTGCTTGGTGATGCTCAACCACTATGGTAATAGGTTATATGCCTCTAACATTGTCTTTGAACTATGGTGCCTGTGTAAGGAATGAGACACTTGCAAATGTGCCAGGCTATTACCCCTAGGAAAGAAAAAAAATGACCAAACAACCAATGCATGAATGTCTCCTGTGGCCTTGCCAATGTGACTTCACTTGTGTCTTCTGAACAACCAGAAGACAGAGGCACAAAGGTCTATTAAGAAAGACTTTCATTCCTTGACTCCTACTGAAACTGCTGATAGAAATTGAGATCAGCAGAATGAAAAACCCTGGTGTTATTTCTAGGTGATTGCCTGTACCATTGAGAGAAAAGCCTTTGCTGAAATGCTACAGGCAGGATAGCAGTTAAGGTGCTTGGGAAAGATGGAGCTCTTCCAGCAGACCTCGTATGTGCTGCAATGACCTCCTTTTGTCATGAAACTGAGTGGTTTCTTTGACAGTACCCACTGAGACGGGGTAGTTTCCCACTTTGCAGATTGGAAAGCTGAGGCATAATGAGCCAAATGATGTCCCCACAGTGCCAGAGAGAATACATAGGAAATAATAATGAGAAGGAATCCTTATCTCCAAGATCTCTGAGAAATGATGCACGGATGCTCTGAAATGTGCCAGCTTCCTCACTGTTGAGAATAGTGACATGTAAGTGTTGAGATGTGAGCTGTGATAGGTCAGGCAGTTTGACTCAGAAAGCAGAATTATTTCCATAAATGACAATCTGCAGCTTCCCACTCATTCTGAGCTTCCAGCTGATGTAACTATTGTTCCACACATGTTTAAGTTGGCATCAAGTTGCAATCACCTGGACTGAAAGCTATAATTTGGACCTGCACTCGTTGATATTATAGTCTTGGCTTAGAAGTGTGAATTTAGAAGATGATCTCCCTTTTCTGTTGGGATTCCTAGGGTTGGTAGTAAACACTCAGGGAGAAGTGTTGCACTCAGGCACCACAAAACTGAGCTGTGCACCAGGAGTTGTCCATCCTGGAGAGGTAACCTATAACTGAATCAGTTCCTCTTCTCTGGGGGCAACAGTACAAAATATATTTTGTAGAGTTAATTTTCTGCACTCAGGAGGGTGCAAAAGGCAACACTCCTGGCCTTGCTCTTACTGTTTTGAGTAAGTCTATTCCTATTCTTTTCCCCCTAGCTTTCACCAAACAACATATTTCTCTGCATTTCTCCTGCAGCTGTTTTCCAGGAGCAGCAGTAAGCTCACAGTTGCAGGGAGGTTTTAACATAATTTAACAAACACTTAAAATTATCTAATCATATAACATGCATTCCTGTCACCTGTGGGTCAGTCTCACATGAATAATCTCACCTGCTAGTAAAGAAAAAAAGACATGAGAGCACCAAACATAGGAAAGTCCAGCAACAGACAGACTCAGCTGTCTGCCAAACACTGGCAGTTTCTCTCTGCTTGAGAAGCTCTTGATGTCTCTGCCCCTCAGCTTCTCTGTTATGTATATAAATGTGCAATAAAAAGAAGATGAAAAGCTGACCTCTGAAATTTTCAGTCTGAGAAGTCCCAAATGCTCTGCTGTACCAGAATGCAGGTCTGCTTTACAGGACTAATTTGTGCTGATGCTAGCTGGTCCAATTGTTATGCAATTGTGCAGGCATTGGGAATAACAGAGTACACTGTATTCTAGTTATATACTTTACCAGGACATGGTGGAAGCTTCTTGCCAGCTGGAAATTTCTTCATGCCAGGGAAGGTTTGTCCTTCTCCTGACATTAATTTGACCTCTGTACCTGGCACCTGGCTTTTGCTCTTTGCAATTGTCTTGTACCACAGCTTTGAGAAGTTCTACCTTTCCAGCTGACAAAAAACCCCAAACTGATGATAGATAAATACCATGCAGCTGAGGCTTTTTTATCACCATCTATCATAATTAGAGGGATGTCAATTCATCATTGTGCCCACAGTGGTAAATTCTTAGGGTAGTTTTTCAAAGTCATCCATACTCATTGTTTGTGCAGATTGCTTTAAATAGATACTGGTGTTCTTTGTAGGAGGCAAAGGGTGTTAAATCTCATTTCTTTACTTAATTCCAACTTGGGCATTTGCATTTTGCCTTCCTGGTTTCCCAGCTGGGAACTCAGGTCAATTTTTGCTTCCATCTTTATACTCAGGCATGCTTTGTTCTCATTAAACCCTGATGTGCAGTAGACACCAGGGGTGCTACTTTTTGGTCACATGGGATGAAATGTGGCTTGCAAGCATAAAGAGTAATTAGTATGATTTATAAACTAACTGAAAAATTCTGCAAGTCTACAAAAAGGGAAGAAGTTTGTTATGCTTAGGGAAGGTTAGCAACTCAGGTACTCTTCTGCCCACCAAATGTATTTATCCGGTGAGGAAGGAGCTGATGAACTGTTTTCACAGAGGCAGATTTTGAGCTTATTTTTTAATGAGTCCTGTTCAGTCACAGCTGAAGGAGCCCTGAGGTGGAGCTCTGGATCAGTCCATGGACTGTGGACTATTGCCAGACAAGAACTTTAGTGGCTCTACTTTGGAAGAAAAATGGATGATGGGCTTCCATCCACAAAGAACCGATTTTTATTATATTAGTGTCTTGTCTTATTGAAGGTCTGAAATTCCTTTCCTGAGCTGTTATTCACAAAGAACCAATTTTTATTATATTAGTGTTACTCTCCTGCCTTGTCTTATTGAAGGTCTGAAATTCCTTTCCTGAGCTGTTATGAATCTTGAGTGAAATTACCTCCCCTGAAGTGTGCCTCATTGCCCATGTATGGAAGGATATTTCTCCTGTGATTCCATCAAATGTTTATGTTGCAAAGGAAAGAGCATTTTCCTGAAAAGAGAAGACAAAATTTTCAAAAGAGTGGAAAACAAAGGAATGTAGATTTCTTTATGCCTTTGGGTATTTTAAATTCTGCAATTTATGTTCATAAATCAATTTAGTGCTCCTGAAAATGTTAACCACCATCTGTTTCTTTAATGATGCTATTTCTGGATTCAAAGATAATTGTTTATGAAGAGTAAAGAAGGGACTCTGGTATTTTTGATACCATTATGAAAGTGAGATTCTATTAAGGTATCCAGCAACTTTCCAAAATCTTGTACCTTGAAGGAGACTTCAAGATGAAATAGTGTTTATGTACTAGATGTATTTAGAATATATACAAGACCTTATTATGGGTTAGAACTGGACCTCATGTAATACAGGTTCTGATGCTAAGATAATTCTCCCTGCTTCATGTGCAGATGCTTGAAGTAGTGTGAAATCCATGTCATTCCGTTTACAGTCTCATATTCTCTTAGTATTCCATTGTGTAGGAATTGTGTTTAGATAAGTGAATCATCCTTCAGGATGAGAGAATGAAGCTCATGAGAAAGTTTTAGAAAACACTTGACCAGGTTAGAACATGGTGGCCTTGAAAAGACCTTCCTCAAGAGAACCAAGCTACTGCCCTCACTGTGGTAAACTGTGAAGATTCCCAGAGCACTGCCAGGGAAAGACCAGTATTTGCCCAGTTCCCACCTGCTCCTCTCTGAGGTACCTGTGCTACACATGGAAAGCAAATGTGATCTGACAGTACACTACCAAAAACTAGAAGTATTTTCCCTGGCAGCAGAGGGTCATTTATGTGAGTAGCCAAGTTTAGAATTCATGGGGCGGCCCCTTTGTAGTGTTTTAAGTAAATTCCAAAAAGTAAGTCCATAATTTTGGTCATCCAAGGAAGTGCCAGGAGGGCCCATCATTATCTCTTAGGCTGTATTAGTCACTGAATAGTAATAGGTCAATGAGGAGCTAGATGAAAAAAACAATCAAAGGAATGGTCACATCAGAAAGAACACACAGAAACACTTGGTATGATTACGTGTAAACCAACCACAGGCTCTATTTACAAATCTTTCCATCTGTTCCTTTGCCTAATCATTTCTGCTTTCTCTCTCTGTCTTCTAACTTTCCTTCGTCTTTCCAGATGCAGGACGCTATGGGCTATGAGTTACCATGGGTGTATTTTGTCAGTCTGGTCATCTTTGGATCCTTTTTCGTTCTAAATCTGGTTCTTGGTGTGTTGAGCGGGTAAGCTGACAGTTTTGGTGTCCTTTTTCCAATGCTACAGGGCAAGACTCCATAATAAGGGTTCTTCCCTGTCACCAGGATACTTTCCGAGGGATTAAAAATCTGAATCCACGGAAGCTTCACATCACCTCTGAAATACTTTGACAAAATGTTCAAATATTGCAAATAATACAGGTAACAAAAGCGGTGTTATTCCCTGACAGAGAAATTCAACCTCAGGGCCTTCAAAATTATTTATGTCCACACGTCATAAATTTCCAGAAAACTGGATATTGAAGAACCTTACTGCTGGTGACTTGGGATCTCTTTGGCTGGAGCCTTGCAGTGCTCAGAATCTGAGCTTGTCTCACTAATTATCATTCCACTCTTCCAGGTCAATGATGCCATAGGAAGGGACTGGCCCTGGATCTATTTTGTTACACTAATCATCATAGGGTCATTTTTTGTACTTAACTTGGTTCTCGGTGTACTTAGCGGGTAAGCAGTACCAGGAAAATGTTTTATTATTGTTTATTTTTAAAAATTTGTATTTCTATTCCTACTCTCTGGTTACCAAAACAACAGTCAGTGATGGGTTGATCTCAAGAACCTTAAGAGAAGGCCCAGGCTATTGCTGTGCCAATAGCAAAATACAGCATTCCTAGTATCACAGAAGGAGTCTTTTGACTAAATCAAAGGAATATAACACAATTTTTTGTCTTTAAGACATTCCTCTACCTGTACACTGTGGGAAGAGGACAGTGCTGTGCTCTCCTGTGGGCAAAGCAATCCACACACCATAGGAGGGGATTACAGTAGAATTTCTGGAAGAGTCAGTAGGACTGAAGGAGGAATGAGAGCCTGAGACAAATCCCTTTACATCTGTAGGATGAGATTCCTGCCAAATTATGTCTTCTCACAGGAGAAATTTTCACATTGTTTAGAATATCTAAAGCACAGCCTATCAGGAGACTATTTTCCCTGGAGAGAGTCTTGGGCACGTTTCTCCTTCAATAAGCCCATCTTCTCTATTGTGCAGATTACAAACTTGGCATGATGCAGGGAGAAAAGATCATTTCCCTGTGACCTTTTCCAAGGATTAACAGAGAAGCAGGAGAAGTCCTTTTAGTGTTTAAGCATTTTTAAGACATGCGGACATTTAGCTGTATTTCAGTTCTGCAGTACAACACTGCAAAGCATCATTTTAGTAGCTTTGATTAAAAACAATGGGTATTGTCCCCAGTAGTTAAAAACTTTATTGCCCCTGGGGAGACACATAATTTAAGGAATCAAGCCAGCAAACATTCCTTGCAAGATTAAAAAAAAATCTTTTAGGATTAGGCTTTTAGTTCCATATTTGGACACAACTGGGGGCTGCAGACATTCTGTGTACATGGATAAATATGGTATGAGGACTTTTATGCATCCTCTTTTTTGTTTCTACCATCCAGCCTCCTTTAATGAGCTCTAAATGAGTTTGATCAGGGCCTGTACCTGTTGCCTGAGTAGGCAGCCCTGAAGTCTCTTGTCTTTTGATCAAAAGAGAGGGAAAATGATCTCTAAACAGGAGAAGAGAGGACTTGGTGCCTCACAGAAATTATGTCCTCAGTACTTGGGCCAACAAGATAGGAAGGGCAGCAGTGGGACTAGGGAAAAAGATCCACCTTTGGCCATCTGGCAAAGAGACAGGTAATAGAAAGTCTGCAGGAGGTATTATTTCTATCTTCATGACTCCACTGAAGGAGACTAGCCACTGTGACAGCTACTGCAAGGAGAAGATTTCCATGCAGTAATGGAAGTGTGGAGAAAATCCTTGGTAATGAAGTGTTGGGCAATAATCTGTGTTTGCATGTCTGGAGAGTGATGCTCTGGTATGGTTTTGAAACACAAACTCCTCATTCCTCCAGGTGGATACTCTGCCCAGCAGGTAAGGATGTCAGCACTAGTGGGGGATGATGATCAGCTGACAGGGAAAGGGATGTGTTCTATCAGAGGTGTGCTCAAGGACCCTACAGAAATGTTGTTAAAGATTTTATGGCATCTGATTGGATAAAAAGTGCCTGTGAGCCAAACCATGGGGAGTGCATAGTATTGAAGCACTTCTGATTCAATTTACCTGCACTTGGATTTGTACCTGTGCATAATTAATGATTTAATTTCCTGTCTCTTTCATTTTCAACTCAAGAAATTGTTTTGAGGCCTAAATCTTCCACCTCCTGCCATACTGCAGCTAAACCACCACAGTTAGTGGCAGGAGATGGAAACAGTCTGTAGAGGGAACTGAAATCAAAGATGAAGTTCACCTTGTTTAAGCTGTGAGTCACTCTTTCTGGCTGTCTTCACAGTGTTATGACAGCTGCACTGTTTCTGCAAAAATGTCCTCAACTGGAGAAAAGAAAAAAGAAACTTAAAAATTTGCATCCATGAAAAAAATGCAGAAATTATGGAGAAGTGTTCCAAATTTTCTTTGGTCTATATAAGCAGTTCTTAAACAATTAACTTTCTAAAGCAGTTCTAAATTCTGCTGAGTTACAAAGTGTCTTCACTTTGCAGATTCAGCTTTTTCTCTTGGAGACTTGCTATTGCTATTAGTCTGATCTATGCTGATGATCCACCTGTCTGTTCTAGATACAAAGCAGCATTCCTGGTTATCTCTGAATATCCATTCTGGGCATCTCTGATTTTTTTTCCCATTTATCTATTTCAGGAGCTTCAGCAGGCATGTTGTGTAGGTAGGCTTCACAAAGGACAGATTAGCTTGGGGAGGGGGGTTAATACTTCTGAATACATAGGTGTAATTAATTGTACTCATAAAGAAACCTCGATTGCACCTGCAAAATGAAATGCTGAATTCTGCTCTACTGAAAAAGCTCTTCTGTAATTTGTTTTTCCTCAGGCATGTCATCCATTCATGGTCCTGATGAATTTACTAATCACATACTAGCCTAAATAGCATGTTGGAGTATTTATATGTGAAGCTGTAATCTCCTCCTGACTTGGCTGAGCACAATATAAAATTCATGTACTCCAAAGGAGAATCCAGTCAGCAGATCACACAGCAGACCTCCCCAAGCCCAGGCAAAACAATTCCACATCATTGCTCGGAGCAGTGATAAGAAGTCACTTGAGATCAGAGATGTTCACATCTGTGTTATCTGTTTCAGTTAATTAATGAGAAAAAAAAAAGGCAGAGGGGTTCAACCTTCAGACAAGTACACCTAAGAATATGGAGTCCCATTTCCTTTATATTTTGATCCAAATCCCAGGACACAGGCCAAACAAGCAGTTGCCTAAGGCAAATGGAAGAAAGGAGAGCCAGAGGTTTCTTTTTGAGAAGATCCTGCAAAACACAGTCGTTTGCTTTTGATGCTTTTATTCCCAAGAAAGAAGTCAGAGTGAACATGATGCTGGTTATGGTTGTAGCTCCTCCTTGAGCAGTTTTTATGACCTTTCAGGTATTTTTCCTAATCTTCTGTCCCCTCTTCCAACCCTTCCCATTCCTTGATGTACTTCTGAGGGTGGATGAGATTTGGAGCCTTGTGCTCCACTTTGAGTAGCAAGCAAGAGTTTGGAACTGTTAGAACTCTGCTGTTTTGCTCACTTTCCATCTCGCCTCTAAATGTGAGAAATCATATCAACAAGAATAACCTAAATTCCATCATCATTTGGAATAGGAAAAATAAATTTTCTTCTGAAACAGCACATAATGCAGAGCTGGGTGTTTATGATCTTGACCCACTCTAACCTCACACAGAGAAATAGTCTCCAGAATACTCTGCTCTCTGGTATTCCCACTGGCAGGCATTTCTACAATTTTCTGGGAGAAGTAAACCAAAGTGAAACAAACTCAATTGTGGTAAAAACAATCAAATTCACCCACTCTTATTCTGATGTTTTGGTTCACTGAAAAGAGACAGATTGCTTGCTAGTACTGCAAGCCTTTGCTGACCTTACCCTGTCATGATTGTGCAACCTTTTTTGTGAAAGCAACCTCTAGACTGAGCATGGCACTTCCATCCAAAGCTCCTTTGGTCCTTGGCCTGCCTGCTGGAGCTGCAAACAGTGACCATTTATTGCCAGCTGTGCTGGAGGCAGCTCTAATGTGTGCACCTGCCTGCAATCCACCCTGGGCTGATGCCACCAGCTCCCTTGCCATGGGATGGAAGATGGCCACTGGTAGGAACCTTGATTGTGAACTACATTTGCCTGAGTACAGGCTGCCATTCCTCATGGGAGGTGGTTTGAATTGCAGTAGCAATTTCCTGAGCCACCTGTTCTCAATGGTTTGGTGTTAGTAGAGCATAGAAATTAAGAGCATTTAAACCAGTTGTCTTTCTTTGGAGAGTCATCTGAGATGTGGAGTGTCATGTGTTGTAGCAAGGGAAGAGACATGGAATTGCAGGTCATTTATACAATGCAATCACAGTATTTTGCATTGTGATGGAAAACTCTAGGTTCAGGTCATTTCAAAATTTGACCCATTTGTTTTAGATTCTAAAATAATACCTTGCAAGATGAAAATCAAAATATTGGAATTTGATGTAACAAACAGGCTTAATAATACATCTATTCATTCAGTGATTATTTTTTTAAGAGTTAGTTCATTAATTTGGATGTGGCACTGTAGCAGCCCCAGGGGAAAGGTGTTACTGAAGCAGAAAATATAACCACCACTGATGTATTTTTTTCTAACAATCTTTTTATGATTTTTATTATTATTGTTTAGCTTATTTGTTTCTTCTATATTGTGAATAGCAAAATATCACTCCCAGTATAAGAAAATTTCATTTTTCATTTTTTCCATGCCTTGAGGCTGAGTTTGGACCCAGAGCTGACTGTGGACTAACTTCAGGCCAGAGAACCCAGTGCTTCTCTTCTTCACCTCCACCTTTTTTTATCACACATCCTTGGGAGGACCTGAACCCTCAGCAGCATAACAGGAGTACAGATGACACTGGCACACGTTGTCACATATTTTGGCTAGAAATTAAGGAATCATCCTGCTTTGATCCTGCTGCAGTGCTGGTTTCCTGCACAGCTCAGAATTCTGAAAACCTGATGCAAAGCCTGTGAAGTCCATGGAAGTCTTTCAGCAGGTTTTGCACTCAACAGGAGGAAAGTACCTCACCATCACTGTTAGAAACCCACCTCCATCTCAGTCACATGCCACTCACAAAATTCACACTTTGGCTGGGATTTTCATTATGCTAATATTATGCCACCAAAATCAGTGGTAGATTTCCTATTCATTTTTGCAGGAGCAAACCTAAGACAAATGCCAAGTGGAATAGCATTTTGTTAAATCCATTCATTGCTGACAGTCTTCAGCAACAGTAAAGGATAATACACTGGGGAGAATGGCTTTGCCTCTTTTTCTGGAAAGAGTGGCCTGTATTATCTGCTCTGTGTGTCTTGTGTAGTGATCTGCTTCAGCAGATATAAGACAATGCTTAAGTACTCTTGGTCCAGCAATTTTCACAATCATTAAACTTACTTTTTAAAATACAAGTGTTAAAACCTGATTTAGAACCACATGAAGTTCTAAATAAGGCAGGCCAGCATTTCTTGATGGAAATTATTGCTGAAAGAGGAGAAGAAACAGCACTGCAGCCAAAAAGAAGACAAAGCCAAGAACCCAGGATCATAGCTAAGCAACAGAAAATTCTTGTTCTTATGCCCTGTTTTAAGTCTCTACTCCCAACAGTGTTCTTTCATAAAACTATCATCAGATGTTTTGCCCTGTCCAGTTTCTGGCAGAATCTATTAGTTTTGTCTACCCATAATTTATTGTATTCGTCCACCCAGTGTGAGATTTGAAAAATATATTTCATGTCAGATAACTGCCTCAAATGCTGAAAGTCTTCAGTAAAATCTTGAGGTCTGAGTTTTTAACTATATTTTCCAGTACTGTGGGTGAAATGGTCCAGAATTAAATGTGTACAGGATTGTGAGTACCATTAATTACACTTAAACTAGCCCAATTTAGTTGTGATGTAATATAAAATCTTAAACACTGATTGAAACCTGACTACAAATTAAGCCACCAGCTCACTCTCCAGATGTCAGATTATTGTCAAACAGTTCATCTTTAACCATTATTCATGTAGACATTTGTAGATAACTGTTGGAGAATATCAAGTGTTTACAGAATGTTAGAAAATGTCTGGTATTGTACATAAATGTTACATATATGTTTTATTTGAATTGTCAGTGAAATGCTGAGAAGGAAATTTTTGAAAAAGGTATCAGTCCTTTCCTACGTGTTGATAGATATGTGGACACTCCAGCTGTTTTTCACATGTGTGCACAGCAAGGATGCTCCATAGACACGTTTGTCTGGAGAGAATAGAAACAGCTGGATGTGCTACACAGACTGAGGAGACTGTCTGGTGGAAACCCATCTAACCCATTGTTTTCCTTCCATCTCTTCCTTCTTTCCGCCCATGTCCTGTCCCTCCCTCCCTCTTGCTAGGGAGTTTTCCAAAGAAAGAGAAAAGGCTAAGGCTCGAGGCGATTTCCAGAAGCTACGGGAAAAGCAGCAGCTAGAGGAGGATCTGAAGGGATACTTAGACTGGATAACTCAAGCAGAAGATATTGATCCAGAAAATGAAGATGAAGGCATGGATGAGGAGAAGCCTCGAAACAGTAAGCAACTTTCTTCTCTCACTTTCTTTTTCTTTTTCTGTCTCTCCTCCTCTGTCTCTCCCCGTGTTTTTAGCCATAAAGCCTGTGCCCATCTGCTGTAGTGCTGAGGTGGCTTCTAAGGAAGAACAAGCTCTTTCTGAGATATGCAATATGCTTATACATGATTCCAATTTAAAGCTTGTAGGAAACCATGGGAAGCAGAAATACGTGTACAATAATTGATATTCTGCAGATCAGTGCTTAGTTTGTGATAGGGGCATTAGATCCTGAGATTAAACAAGTGAAAGGTCAATACTTGCTGGTAAAGTCCACTACTGAGAAAAGTTCTAAAATACAAGTGTGCCCTCCGTTCATTTATTTAATTGTAGCTCAAGTGTTGCAGGTTCTGTGCACATAGTTGGTTCCTTTGAAACCAAAGGTTTCTCAGGGAAAGCAGAGTAAGGGAGGAGGGCCAAATCAGCTCTGTTGTACCTTAAGGGGACCATCTGTAACTCCATTGAAATCAGTGGATTTGTGCTTGCTTTGCCAGGCTGGATTAAGCTCTCAAACATTTCTTCTAAGAGTGTTATTTCTTACTCTTCTTTGGAGTTGACAAGGTGTTTGTACAAAGTGAAAATTCACCAACAATCCCTTATGAGAAATCCTGAAGAAGGAAGGGCTTGAAGAAAGCAGTGCTTCCCCATCATTTCATTACCATTATTGAATCTTCTGCCACCTTCACTTTTACCAACATGGGCCATATAACACTTGAGAACCACTTAGCAGTTGTCATTGCTTCTTGTGCACTTGGGAAATGTCAGACTTGGAACCTTTACACAGCCCATGGACAATGGCTCTACTCTTGGCTTTCGTCATGGGAATGTGCATTTTCTTTGTCTGATTTTGGAAGAGAAGACATGAAACATGTCCCTAGATATCACCCTTCTTACCAGTCAAAATCTATGGGATGACCACATCACAAACATATATTCCAGTAACAGGATGATTGGACATGGGAAAGCTGTGCCTTTCTTTCTTCAGCAAGATTTTTAATAGATGTTCATGACCTTTAGAATATTAGTAACCGCTATTGCTGCCGAAACAATGAAATTCTTAAACAAAAAAAGGGTTGTTAATATCAGGTTATACCCACAATACTTGAAGGAGTCACTGTGGTCACTCGCTCAGACTTTTCCCAAATCAGGTTATTGATTGATTGCTGGTATTGATTTTTATGCTGGTGTTTTCATAGCTCATATAGTTTACTTGCACAATTTAACCTCAGCAAGCATTCAGAAATTACTTTCTTAATCATGTCCAAAATTTGCTGCTCAGTGGCATAGCACACATGAATAAATCAGATGAGGATTCACTGCATGTACTGTTGAGTGTGGTCAACCCATATTTGAGCTAACAAGCTCCTTTTGTGGGTGGTATTAAGAACTGAAAGGTAATGCAACTCCTGCTTGCTGTCTGTTCTTCCTGGTCAATTTGATAAGGTGGGTTTTGTAAGACACGTTTTATCAAAATTAGTCCTCTCACATCTGAGTCAGAAAAACTGAGAAGTAATGGTTTCAGCTTAAGACAACATCACAGAAAAGGTACTGTGAGTAAGTGACAGGGCAGGGCATTTTGTTTAGGGTCAAGTTTATTTTTGGTGTGTTCTCTCCTGGGTTGAATGTTTTGGTATTCCTGCCAGCAGTCAATCACCAGTAGGATTAAATTGATGGCATTATTTCTCTTCCAAAAGCCATCTACAAAATAAGTAAAGGACAGATGGCACAGATGTAAATTCCCTCATGAATCCCTTTGGCTTCAGTGTTCCCAAGACATTTGAATCCCACCTACTCCCAGTCCAAGCTTACATCACCAAGATTCCAATGTCTTCCTTGTTTTCTTGTGTTTAGCTCAGTTGCCTCCTATGCACCTTCAGTGTCTTTTGTTCAAGTGCTCACCGAAGCTCATCACCTCCTGTTTCTAGTACAGCATCTGAACTCCATGCCTGTCTGTTACTGCCCTTTCAAGCACACTTTGTTCAGTGACTAATTAACATTGATTGACTTTTGAGGTATCAGCCCTGAGAATTTCAAATTACAGATCACTGAACCACACAGGGCAGTTCAGACCTCTTTAAGCTGCTGTGTTAGCTCAATAAACTTCAGGTGTGGCCTTTGCATCAGTGGTGTTGTATTGATGCTCAGTGGACATGTGCTCCTGCCTGACCTCTGACAGTGATTCACACCTATACTTTAAAGAAGTCACATCAGGTTTTGCTTCTTTGCTTTTTCCTCAGAGGTTGTTTGGGGATTTGACTTTTTTCTTTTCTTTTCTTTTTTTTTTTTTTAATAAAGAGTATCAAAATAGTTCAGAAGTTCAATTAAAAATACTTATTAATCTAGAGACTCAGCTAATGTAAGTTCTGAGACTCAGCAGTTTACACCATCTGGGCTCTGACCCAGGTAGTCTACCTAAACTGAATCATCCCAAACACAGAGAACATATGTTTCCCATCTTTTCTTTGTCCTTGGCAGCTACAGAGGCAGATTTTGCTGTCTTTTAACTTTGTAGAAAGTGCTGCCCACTTGTCAGCATGGGCACTGCCTCCTGTAAAACAGAGGACTGAAGGTGGAAATAAAGAGAAACTCACTTGCATCCCCTTTTGGTCTGACTGCCTGTGACAATACTTAGGGCATCATCATCATATTTTGCATATGCTGCTGCTTTTCTGAGGCTCTCAAACCTTGCCTAAAACCTCACTGTGTACTTGCAGCCCCTCTCAAACCTTGCCCAAAGCCTCACTGTGTGCTTGCAGCCCCTCTCAAACCTTGCTCATAGCCTCGCTGGGTGTTTGTAGCCCTTAATGAAGTTACCAGGTTCAAGGATACAACAGAGAGCACCTTAGTGAAGGAAAGGGTGAAAAAGGAAGATAAATGCAACCAGAGTTGGACAGCCCGTGCTGTCTTTAGCTCTTCTCTCCATAGCAGAGGTCTTGGCATTTTGCTGAGGGAGCTCATCGCCACTTGTCGCTCACATGGATTGAGAGACATTCACAGAGCAGGCTGAGCTAATTCCCTGTTTTTGAGGAAGCACCACATTTAAGGCAGTTTTTCCATGCTGTTTGCAAACATGGATTTGCCATTGTGACAGATGTGAGGTGGGAAATGTGAAAAGGCTTCTGGGGGCTGTTTGTGTTGATGGTTTTGTTCTGTGCTCTTTCCCTGATGCGCCTTCCACGCGGGAAGAAAGCTTTAATTTGACGGAGGGGAGTAACACATCATGTCATAGAGCAGCTACTGAATTCAAAATTACATGATGGCAAAGAAAACCATCCTTCCTGTTGCCACAGTTACGGGGAATTTGCACTTTTGTTTTCCCTTCCTGACAGTGGTCTGGAGTGCCTCTGCTGCTGTGGGCAGAAACAGGAAACTTCAATACAACTCAGATTCTCCTCCTATTGAAATTAATTGGCAAAACTCCCACAGACTGCAGTGGGGTCACAAATAATCTATGAATGGGCAGGGTGAATTAATTTGATGTTTCTGAGTGCTCAGATTTTGTCCTCCTTCTGTTTTCTTCTATTTCAGCTCTATTTGGTGCCATCATGTGCAGTGAGAGTATGACCTCCCTAATGTCAACAGAGTCCCTAAAAGTAAAAAAGCCCACTGCTTTGTAAAGGCATTCCCTGATTCAAGACAATTAATCCTTCTTGTTAAGTCAGTAAATTCAAGAACTGATTTGCAAGTAGCTTACCCTACTAAAATTAAAAGTCCAATCATTCTTCAAGGCCCTATTGCCATGGAACTGATGGCTGTAGATAATTAAGTTTTTGTGTAGCACAGCAGAAAAAAACCCAGTACAAATCAATGTGTTGCCTATCAAAATCATATAATATTTCCGATGGTACATTGAATAATGAAGTGTTTGTCTGTACATGCAGATTTATGCCTCTGTTGAAGTGGGAATAGTGCACACTTAAAGACAAAAAGTACAGACATACAGGCAGATTTAAAAATATGTATTAAAAAATTAATCAGTTTAAAAAGAAGTGGTCCTCAATCTTCACCTTCAGAGCATTGCTGTAGAGCTTTAGTGACCTTTGGAAACGTTCATAAACATCTGAGTTTGCTGCCTCTATGGAGTCAATGACAGCCTAACTTTTTGGTGAACCATAGGTTTAGTCTCACTCTTTCAACTACTGTTAGTTTGAACATCTCCATAACTGGGAATTAGAACTGCATTTAATTACAGGTTTATGAAAGTCTTCCCTAGAAGAAAATTATTTTGAGAGAAGGAGGAACTTTTCAGCAGGAAAAGCAAAATTTCAGAAGAAATTGGTACCTCTTAGACCATTATGGCTTTTAGAAAATCTATGTTTTTCATGAGAACAATTCATGCTTCTGCACATCAGGCCATAAATGAGAACAGGAGAGATGGTAGTTTAAATAGAAGGGAAGACTTTTAGAACTCTAGAAATAGAAGCCTCAGTAATTTCAACCCAAACAGAGCTTTATTCCCAAGAACTCCAACAGTAGTTTGTCACTAAATTCTGTCAACCCTTTGGGAAAGCTAGTGATATGGAGCTGTTGGATACAGAGAGTTTTGTGTACAGATCTACCAAGGTAAAAGAACTCCAACTTCAATTTGTACATTAGCTCAATTTGTATATTTAGTAATTTCATATGTCAGCCTGCTCAGTGGCCTCCAAATCATGTGTTTAGTGTACTGACTTTAGTGGCTTATTACTTTCAGCCTGAAATAAAATATCACGGTGCTCTGGGATAATGTCTAAGGTAGGAAGGATTTTCAAAGACTGGGTTACAAGCTAAAATTTCAGGGTGGCCTAAAATATTCTTGGTCCATCTTCTGCAATGAAATTCAGTGGGCGAGTGCACAGCTGGGAATCAACATGGAAGATGCAGAAGGGAAAATGAGAGGGTGGATATTTAAAAGATAACTGTTTTAAATCCAGTCTTGACCCTCACTGCCTTAAAACCCCTGTCTTCTTACTGTATGAAAAAAGG